CAGCCAGGAACAGTCTTGCAAGTCATTGATTCAGGTCAGGCCACATGTATTCAGTAAAGCTATGCCATCCTAAAGTGGTACTAAATGTCACTGGTCCTGTTGCTTTTTTTATATCAGCAGGCAATCACGTAAGTGATCCTATACTAATTATCCTTTAATGCTTATAATCCTAAAAGCAGCTATACTGTTAGTCACCTTTTGAGCCAGGAACAGTCTTGCAAGTCATTGATTCAGGTCAGGCCACATGTATTCAGTAAAGCTATGCCATCCTAAAGTGGTACTAAATGTCACTGGTCCTGTTGCTTTTTTTATATCAGCAGGCAATCACGTAAGTGATCCTATACTAATTATCCTTTAATGCTTATAATCCTAAAAGCAGCTATACTGTTAGTCACCTTTTGTCATATTTCAGTCATTCTTTGCAAGTGGTTGCTGAATTTTACCCTTTTTGGTAGTCATGAAGAACAAGGAACTAATGTAGCATTCACTATGTGATGGGAGTGGAATGCAGCATCCTTGAGGAGTAAATTCACTGGCTTAAAATAAATTAATCTTTTTTGCAGCTGCTTACTAGTTTTTCTTTGCAAAAGAGAAAACTGAGAATTCTAAGATGTTTCTTCCCCTTCTTCTCTTGCTCACACTTATGAGGCTAACAGAAAGTAATTTCCCATTCTTTATCACTACCTGAAATACCAAATACAAATACAACTACAGGTTACTCCTAAATATCATTCCCAGATTAATGGTGCTTATCACTATCTTTGTTCAAAGTCCTGCCACCTTTCTGTTCATGTTGTTATTGATAACTAGGTTAAACATTTCGAGCAAAAATCTGTCAGTTTATCAAGTAATTTTTTGAAATGTTAATTACTTACTGTTCAAGAGTTTTAAGTGACTCTCTAGAACCTAATTTTTCATTTAACATGCTGATCTATGTGTGCTAGAACTTCTGCATGAGGTACTTGAAAATTAAAAGATGGTATATTAAAAAAGTCAGGTGAATTTAAATGCAAAGCTAAGGTCTTTGGAGGGATGGGGGACAAGAAGTGGTGAGAAAGAAAGTAGAGCAGAGTGGGGTAAAGTACATAACTTCTCTTATGTTTAAATATAATAAAATCTGATCTCAGTGGAAGAATAAAGGTGTTAATATATACACAGTCTTAAAATTTCTACAAGAAAGTTAGAAAATATGTTGTAACACTTCATGGTATGGTCTGAAGTAGGTACAGCTAAAATTATACCTGTTAAAACAAATTGGTATTGTCAAACATATGCATGTTTGAACTTGTGAACAAGTTTGTGCAATAAGCAAAACAGGCAGTTATTCAAATGGCAGTCTTCTAATTGACTCTAGGGCCAACTAACTCACTAAGGTCCTTGAGGTATGATGCTTCCCACATCTCTCTAGGAAAACCATGGGAAAGGAAATCTCCCCTGTTCTGTGGGCAAACAGCAGTGGTGTACTGTTCTGACTTGTGAGCAAAGGTGGCAGGTAACACCCAGGTGGCAAGTAACACCCAGCTGGCTTCAGAGCTGGAGCAAACATGCTGGTTCCTCCTGATGAATCTTTATGGACGGTGTAGATGTTTTTTAAATACACATCTAAAACCATACTTTTAATCGTCCTCCTGCTAATACTGCACCATAGTGGTCTAGTTTAGTAAACTTACTTCCTTCTCCTTAAGCCCTATAATAAAGCCTTCTTACTTCAACTGTCCTTTGCATGGGCCTCTGTTGTCCCTAAAATTGATGTTGCTATGTGTTCATAATACATTTCATGCACTTTTTTTATCCATTGCAGTTAACTTCCTGTAAACTCTTTCTTCCCTTGAGTGTATTTTGGGGAGAGTTGGGGAGGAACAATGAGTGAATCTACCAGTATGGAACAAGATTTGAGGAACAAGCATCTATAGTTAAGCTCCTGCTGGGGTTTTTTTGGGTACCTAAGAAGTATCCTAAACTTCATTAGGAATAGATGCTTTACTGCTGCCATTCACTCTCATCTTTCTGAGTATCTTCTTTTCTCAGATGTCTTTATCTTACCTGATAATTCTAGTGGCTTTCACTGCGAGAAAAACAAGTTTCTTTGCCCTTTTCTAAGTATCTTAGAGTATCAGAACCTGATTAACAACTCTAGCAAATGCAAAGGCTTTTAAAGGAACTTCTGGATTAGCATGGTATTTACATTTGCATATGTAATTCTCTAACTGCAAGTTTCAAAACAGATAAGTACACTGTGCTGATGGCAGCATGTAGTGCGCATGCTTCAGAGGAAAACATCTTGAAGACTGTAGAACTGCTTCTATCAAGGAATGCTGACCCTAACCTTACTTGCAGGTACCAAAAAAAAACACCCATGTCTGTGAATACAGCATAAAATTTAATATTATTATACAGAGACATCTTTATAGACATAGCTGTTGTAGGTTAAGATGACGTGTACTTCATTAGCTTTTTGTAACTTTGCTGCTGTCTGTATAAGGAAAGAGGGGTGCCTAGATATTTATTTCTCCTAGTACAGTCATTCATCTGAGTGAATAAGGCTATGGTCAGTTTTATCAAATCTAAGTATGTTCCTCAGCCGAACAAGTTACAAATTTAAGCTAAAAACTGATTTTAATATTTTGGTTGACTGTGGTATAACAGGAAAAAGTATGTCCTCTGCCTTTCCTAAATCATATTGCCTCTTCTGTATGAGGATGTAAATTAAATCAGTTAATTCTTTATTTAAATTCGTGTCCTCCTTTTGATTTTTTTTGTGGGTATCTAGCTACATTCCTTTCACAGACAGCCTCCTATGGAAAAAGAAAACTTCTCTGTAAGTAAAATACATTTATTCCAGTGCAATATGGAGTAATCCAGATTAAAAGAAGATTTAATCTCCTTTTAAAAACAAGTAACAGCTTGTTTCTTGAATTACCACTTTGTGTCTCAGCAGTCTGAAGTAGTGCATTGTGAGATGTCTGTAGTTGCATAGTCTGATGCAATGTTTCATTTTGCATCGAAATGAAAGAAATTCTGGGCTGACCCAGGATAAACTGTCCTCCCTCTGCTGGGGAAAAAAGGTACTGTTTGGGTCAAATTGAAACTGCTTGTTTTTCAACTAACTGAAATTCATGTTTTATACCACAGCTCTTTCACCACATTACCAGAGATATGTGGACTGTGTAGCCCTCTAAAAATAATAGAATTGGAGGCCAGTTGGTTCTCGTTAGTAGAACTGAATTACTTCATGCCATGAACCTCACTGTGAGCAGAGTACTGATAGGAGGAAACATAGTTGTGCTGAAATGCCATTGAGTCTGGTACCTAATTTAAATGCTATGCATTTATTCTTATCAGAGAGGCTAAAAATTGTTCATGAAAGACGACAAAGCTACAGACTCTGAAACAATTACATGTTGTTGCCATCAGATAGCTGGGTGTTAGGATAAACATTCTGCTTTAAAAAATGGGGGAAGTCTTTGTTTGATTAAACTTGGTCCTGGGTGTTTGAAAATGTAAGCCAGAGTGCAAAGCTGCAGGTTTAATCTGGAAAGGACTTTGGCTAAACTTTGAGGGGGAGAAAAAAAAAAAAAAAGTTTGGAATTTGAAGGACAAAACTTTATTTATAAACTTAGAGTATGTTATGCATAGTTTGTCTTTATATACAAATATTTACTTGCTATCTTTTTGTTTCCTAAGACCTTATGCTAACATAAGAGTTATGCTTGCATACGTCAGATACAGTGTCCACTTGTGGTTTTTTCACTTTTGCTATTGCAAAATGTCTTTCTCAAATGAAAAGATAAATGAAGTGACAATCAGAAATGTTGTATTTGTACCAAACAAAAGTAGAAGTTAAGTGACAAGGCCTGGATTTTTCAAAAATCTTTGTGCTGCCTTTATTTCTTTTCAGTATTTGACATTTGTGCGTACCACTCCATCATTAGAACTGCTCAGCCAGCAGCTGCTGCTTCTTGTGGGCTTCTTCCACTGTGTTCTGAAACAGGGTGATGAAACACATCAAACCAGCTTCTGTGAAGGGATCAAAACAGACCTTCTATGTGGCAGAACAGTCCCACTTCACCCATTTCATTAGAACAAGCAGGATGTTCTGTAGGAGGGCATCAGAACTCTCAATGAGTTGAGATTACTGTGAGAGTACTTCCTGTGTGATCAGTTTACCGCAGGTGTTAAGAACTAAGGTTCACATTATTTGGCTGTCTCAGCACTTAAGAACTGGAATGATTTTAGGAAGCTTCTCTTTCGTCCACCAACAACTGGAATGTGTGTGAATGCAAAGCAGAATATTTGATTTCCATGTAAAGGTAGAGTTTGGTATTTATCCTTTCTCTGTTGTGCTGTCAGGGCAGCCAGTAGGCTTTTTTATTTCATGACATCTGGAGGTGATACACAGAAACCTGCAATTTTTTTTTTTTGTCTAATTCATGAAGTGTGTGTAGAGTGGGGAAGGACTAGTGAGAAATAAACTGATTTTTGAAATTCATTTTGAAATTCATTCATTCATTGAAATTTCTAATTCATGAAGTGTGTGTAGAGTGGGGAAGGACTAGTGAGAAATAAACTAATTTTTGAAATGCAGTCTAAGAGAAGGTGGGCTTAGGAATGGGTAGGTAGATTTTTTTTTTTTTTTTTGCAATAGGAGAGAGTACTGTGGAGAAAGTATGCAGTAGAGTTATTTCTGATATTTTTGCTAACTCAAAAGTTGAGACCTGAATACTGATGGCTGTAAAAACAGTTTTGTTGATGAAAATGTAGTGTATCAAAACATAAGTGCTAACAGGAGAGTTTTGAAAGACGAACAAGAAGTAAGGTAATGGCTAGGTGAAAAAAGAAGGCATTGTAAGACCTGCTCTGTATATTCTTTGTAGAAGAGCCTGAGTGCTTCATTTAAATGAATACTACCTTGAGAATTTTGTTCTGCTTCTTTTGTATCATTCACCTACCTCATGCTCTAAAATGTAAATTATATACTTTGTCCTTTTTTAAGGCCTGGAAATATTTAAGCGTTTTTTTTTTTAAACTCTTTCAACCTGTGGTGCTTTCTTAAAGGTACACTGATTTTCTTAACATTAAGCTGTGATTTCATTGTAGGCAGAAGGAAGAGGCATGACCAACTGATAACTAAATTACTGTTTCTAGAATTAGATGTCATAGGTTGTTTAGTAAATATGGATTTTGGTGATTACATCCTCCAAGTTCTTGTTTACATAGAGTAGAAGAATCCTAATGGCTTTGCCGGTAAGGACAGTGGTTTGAGTTGATGTTTCATGCTAATATCTCATTGTTAGAAGAAGGTATAAATAGGTGAATGACTGAAACCTCCTTTATTTTCACATAAGTTCTTTGTCTCTTGTTCTGTATGGGATATATGGAGGTTTGATTTTGTTTGTGTGGATTTTTTTTCCCCTCACTCTTAAAATTTCTGACACAGTTGAGTCATGGTCAATGACCAAGCCTGTCTTCAGTGTTTCTGGTCTAAAATGGTTATGGATTTTGTGTATGTCTAAAGAAAAGTCTTCAGAAAGTCTTTGATTTTTCTTTTTCTTTTTTTTAGTATTGTAAAAACTAGACCTTTGTCTGTCTTTTGTCATTGTACAGATAAAAAGTTGAGCTTGAAGCATACTGTCATGTACATGAGTGCATGTACATGAAAATATAATCACTGCTCAGCTCTGGTATTAAGTTGCCTACCTATGTTCATTTATGCTTACATTCAGAGCAGTTTTGAGGACTATCAAAAATGGTTTCATGATGAAAGTTTGGTTTGTTTTGCCCTCTTGAAAGGATGATAATGGAAGGGGGAAATTTTTATCGCTGTATTGCTCAGCTTACAAGGTAGGTCTTTCTTCAGGTTGCGTAGTCAGAATAAAGCAATTGTGTAACACCTCAATTTTAGCAAGATATTTATTGCTACTGATAAGATAGTAAGTCCGCACTGCCACATAATAATTTCAAAGACCTTGACATTATCATTGTGTGATAGTTAACCATGCCAAATTACAAACAGTACATTTCACTAAAGGTAAATAGCCTGGGAAAAGTTAATGCACTACAGTGCATTTTTATGGATGAGGAAAGAAAATCAGGGAATTTAATACTGATTGAGTCAAGATCTTTGATCCACTTCAAAGCAAAAAAATACCTCGTGGTGTTAACACCTATTATACTTCATGACTTTCAGAGTTGTTTTTTTTTCTAGCACTATGAACTCAAGATGCAAAGACTTATGTTGGTCAAACATGAGGACAGAGAAACTAAATATAAAAAATCAGATGCAAAATCACATTTACCAAAGTACTCTGTTCATCTGGACTATGTCCATACATATCTTTCCTTTTCTTGTCTGAGTTAGGGAGGAGTCAAATGCATGGTAAATGTGCAAGTTCTGTAAGTTTGGAAGAGTGGCTTTTGAATGTAAGTGTTGAATCTTGTTCATCAGATCTTTGGGTAGGGGGAAGGAATCTAGACACCAAAATAGGTTATTGTACTTTTCCCAGCTAGTATTGATTGTACGGTGGTAGTGACAGACTTAAAACTGTTGATCATAGTTTCTGGGCAGAGGTATAAAATACTTGGGCACAGTAGGAACATTAGATGCTATTTTTAACAGAGGCATTCTGACAATGCACGGTAGTGTCTTGGAATGTCACCTGAGCAGCCTTTGTGTAAAACAGAAACAAAACCTCCACTGAAATCCATTAGCATTTTATCAGCAACATTCTATCACAAGTATATTAAACTTACTGTCATTGCTAACTAGCTTACCCTGATCATGCGTTATTTGCATAGAACTGGTTTGGTTTTTTTACATGACTGAGAATTGCCCTTTCATTAGAAAGGTAGAGTAGATTTCACATGTATGTGCTGAATTTCTTGACTGCAGACTTTATCCCCACTTTGAAAGTAAAGTTGAAAACAGTCTGAGAAGTTTCTGATTATGTGAATAACTGATTTGTTTTTCTCCTTTACACCAAAGTGTGCATGTTTTTAGCTAAATCAGCTTAAATCAGCTTGCTTGTAAAAATGTGAAGGAGTAAGGATGTAGGAGGACAGGGCAGGATAACTGGGAATGTCATAGCATAGAGTTCTGCCATTCCCACTGTTAATTTTTATACTAATCCCTTTTATAATCATATCCTTAGTATTTTTCTAGTCATATGAAGATAACTTTGTAGCTGTTTACCTTCCCACCTCTGTGTGCTGTAGGACTTACACAGATTCCTTTTTTAATTTTAAAACAATCATGTAAACAGAGTTCAGAAGCAGAAAGGTACAAGAACTGGCAATCTGAAATGAAGCCTAAAACTAGAGAACCTGAAACTAAGCTGTCACCTGTTCCAGCCCAACCTTCTTACTAGAACTGTATGTTCCATTCTCCTAACAAGCTCTGCTTCAGGAAGATAGAGGACTCTTTTACCTTGGTCCAGCAGATAGTGCCTGGAGAAAGTACCTTGCACTGAAGTATATTCTTCCAATACTACTTGTTGTATAGGGTTTCCCACCTCATCACTTAAAACTCCAGCAAAACAGGAAATGGGCAAATAGCTTTCCTTCTGTTGCTGTGGTCACACTGTTACCACTTCATTTCTGAGTTCCAAGCTTAATGTACGGCACTAGTGTGGTGAAACTGGCTCCAAAAGCTTCTGAAGATGCTTCCTCGTTATCTGAAACACTGTTCAGTTGCAAATCAATAGACTAAAATATTAGTTTCTTGTAGCTTCATTTCCCTGCTTTGGAATCTCAGTAAGGAAAGATTGAGACTAAACTCATAAAGTTAAATTGTTTTCTACCTGCTGTATTTTTTTCTAACATTAGTGGTGCACTGGTCTAGTTAATAAACATATATCAAGTTATGAGACTTTACATACAGCTTATACTTCTCAAGATCACCAACCTGAAATACTGATTTTTCCATAGATATCTCCCTGATGGAAGGAAACCTGTGTCTAGATGGAAGACATCTTCTCTTCCTCTCATCCCTCTTTTGAAATTTTCCAGGAAGATGAACTTTGTCTTGCTTGAGAGCGTGATCTCAAACATAAGAATGTGTGTTTGTCAGGTGTGGTGAATTCTGCACCACAGATTCAACTTAGTGGTAACCCACAGGTGTTTGGGACACTTTTCAGTGAGATAGCTAGCTATCACTGTATCACCTAGTTTTATTGTGGCATGTGGTTATCCAGGATAGGAGGCTCCAGGTGGTAGCTTTTAGGCCTGTTGCCCTCATCTTGCTCTCTTGTGATTACGTTTGCCCCATTTTTTTGACAGGATGAAGGTGGAGTGAGCCTACAGAAACCTCTTGTTATATCTTTGTGTAGATGTCACGTACCAAGTTTTGGATGTCCCTGAAAACTGAAAAACCTTTTGGTTTTGTCTTTTTCTCCAGTCTTAGCATAAAAGCAGGAAGACCTAAAAATAGAAATAAACAAAAAAGCCCCCTTCATTTGCATAGGACCACTGAGGAATTCCCTGCTTTTTGTTTAGGTGCTACATAGTTGGAACAGACATCATGCTGAATTAATAAATTGCTTATATGCCTTTTAAGATGTTTACTTATTTATTGACTATCATTTGAGTATCATCTTCAGTATGGGAAAATGTCATGTGGCAAATTGTGCCAAATTTGAATTGAAGTCCAAACAGAAGTTCAAATTGTGCCAAAATTGAAGTCCAAACAAAAGGACTTCACAGGTGTTTGGACAAGAAGGTCATCTGCAAGCCAGGTTGCTGAAATGCAAATATCTGCACAGTTTCTCAAGATTTTGAAAGGATTCTTCAGATCTTTTATCTAGATGGTTATTGCTGTGCATTTTTAGATTGCAGTAAGATGTACCAATACATTTAATTTCTCTTCAACTTTAGCAAGAAACAGTGGATTTGGCATTGAAGCTTGCTGTTATATTTGTTGGGGGTTCTTTGCAGGGTTAGAAAAACAGGATTTGTGTTCCCTAATGCTCTAGTCTCCCTCTTGTGGATGTACATGTAGATGGACCTTGCTTTCTGAGGTGGTGCCTATGCAGCATGTGTCCAAGATATTAAACCCTCATATATAGTGGTGCGTAAATGCAACTGCAAATTTATGTAGCACTATATATGTTTCTACCCTGAAACAGCTTGTAGCCTTTGAAATTAAAACTCAAACATTAATATGGAATGCTTTAAGTACTAATTGTGTATTCATGTTGGTGGACCTTTTAAATGTCATGTTTACTGGGTTTTACTTAAAAATGGGGAAACTTTTTCAGTGGCTTTAATGTCATAGAGTTGTTGCCTTGATTTCAGATACCATGTCTGCAGTACTGTAACCATTACATGATGTTCCTTGGAGAAAAGACTGTTCTGTAGCCTCTGAACTTTTGTTCAGTGTTTTTCCTTTGAAAAAGCAGAAGGTAATTGTGAGGTAGTACCAGTGTGCAAGTTGGGGGGGGAGGGGGGGAGGTTGAGAGCAGAAGAAATTAAAATTTAAAACGGGCATGAATGGACTGTTTTTGTAGTCAGAGGTAAATACTTCAAGGGTGATAACATGGAAAGTCTGTCAAAGGCTACCTGCCACTGAATAGAAGTAAGTGTGAAAGTGAGTATCCACATTGGGCAAGCAAGTTTGATTTCTGTTCTACAGATTATTAGATTTTAATCAACTTCTGTTCATTCTTTCAAATATAGATACCTATAGATATCTGTCCATGTCTATATATAGATAATTATATCTTGCTATCTCATCAGTTACTTGTTAAGTTACAGGGGCAAATTGTACAGGTTTTTTTCTCTATAGTAATCTTCATAGGATCACAGGGTAACTCAGGTCAGAAGGGACCTCAGGAGGTCTGTAGTCCAACTTTGCCCTTTAAAGCCACCTCCGCTATGACATTGGGCTAGGTTGCCATCTGGTGTCAAAACCCACCAAAGATGGAGGCTACAAAACTCTGAGCAGCCAGTTCCACTGATTGACTGTGCCTGATAGTAAAAAAAAAAAAAGTCTCCTTATATTCAGTCAGAACTTCTGCCTTTGCAGTGTTGATGAACTAAATCAAATTAGTTATAAATTGATGAAAGTCTTTTCATTTCATTACCAAGTTCCTTTCTCTTACTGACTGTATGTCTCGAAGGCCTGGTTACCTTTCATTTTGCTTACCTCCAAGTAACTTACTTTTTTTTCCCCCTATCATTTCCCCATCATATTTCAAATTTATAGTATGACTGGATTTTTTTTCAGGGTACTTTTAACTGTGTTTGCATAAGACAAAATATTATCCTTTTGTGAATGAGCAATAACAAAGAAAGATGAGCAAAGCCTTAGTTCTGGCAATACGCTGCAAGGAGGCAGAAAGTATGTAAAGCTTTCGTTTACATACGCTTTTCGGCATCCCTCTAGTGGTCGGTATTGAACTTACTATTAAGAAACGATATTGGTAAGAACGATCCTCCCCTCAAGTGTATCCTAACAAGACAGAATAATCTTTTGACAGCAGAATTTTGACACAGAGCTGTACATTAAAAGCAGTACATGATACTTTTTCAGGAAAAAATACTGCATTTTAAGATACAATAAATTTTAACAAAACATCACTAGTAAAATATTTTACCTTAATTCTGAATACTTCATAGTGACCAGAAATTCCACATCTTTATCCACCAGTACTGCATTTTTTTAATTCTGTGATTTTATTCCACCGAAGAATAAGCATCGAGTATCTGGAAAGATACTTTTCTAACAATCTTTTGAGCAATTTTTTTTCTTTCAAAATATCCAGAGTAGTTAACAATGGCTTCATCTTATAAGCATCTCGGTAGAAGCATAAGATCAATAGACTGTTGTCATCATGGTTTTGGGGTATAGAAAAAAGAAACAGAATAATGGGAAAGGTGGTGTATATATAAGTACTCACTTCTTCAGCAGTTGTTAGAAATAGTAATGTATGAAGGAGAGAAAGCATCAACACATACACTTCTGGGAACAGAAAATAAAAATAGGGTGAAGGATAGAAATATTTTGACATGCATTTAGATTTAGTACTTGAAGTTAAGAGCTTCAATATGATATTTGTATGTAATTCTTGGAAGACTCCTCTCACGCGTACTCGGGTCTGAATGGTGATACTACGTGTGCACCCTCCACTATTGCACTGCGCCTGCGCACACCAGCAAGAGTTGTGTGACCTGTGATTCTTTCTTTTGCTTATGTTGTTTTTACCACAGAGGGTTTTGAAAGTATGTACATAGTTGTTGTTCTTAATATTCTTCTTGTTAAATATTCAGTTGTGATTTACAACTTTGCCCTCCACAAAACTGCAAATTTCTTTTCAGAACTTTGGATTTAAATTAAACTGTATGTAGAATTCGTCACTTAGGCTGTGTCTTTTAAAAAGAATTTTTTAAGAAAAAATGAAAATGCCGATTTTTTTTTTTTTTTTTAATTGAGGTGAAAAAATAGGTGACTTGCTGATACTCTCTGCTTTTCGTAGGGTGAAAACTCTGGTCTGCAGTTACACCTATCCCCTTCTCATTAAGCTGGTCTGTGCTAAATAAAAGGCCTGCTGCTGGGTCTGTGGTAGCAGCAGAGGGGATGGTCTTTAAAAACCGGTTTTGTGTAGTTCAAGACCAAAACAGGAATGGTTTAGTCACCAAGCTACCATGTTTCATAGCTGCAATGTGTTAAGGTTATTTATGTGTTAATGAGCTATTTGAATTTGGAGGTGATAAAACATTGATTTCCCCCACCCCGAAGTACTATAGGCCTATATTCTAAACTCCCGGGAGAGACTGGTTTCCTCTAAGTTTCCTTCCTGTGGAGGACAACAGTTGACTACTTGACTTCATTTCAATCAGAAAATAAATGTCAACTCTTAAAGTATTTAAAAATTGCTAACTGGACATAAATGAGTGGCTGAGTCTGTACATTCTGTTAAGTTGACCCTTGTGCTGAAACTTGAGTTTGGAGTCTTGGGCTTTCATCCTCTGCTTAGTTCTTCTTCAGAACAGAGAATCCTCACAGAATTGAGGTGCTGTACTTAATAATGCAGTTGGATTTTGATATCTTGAAATAATTTTTTTCACCTGTCCCTTTTTCTTTCAGGAGACAAATGACTCCACTGATGTATGCAGCTAGAAAAGGCTATTCTCAGGTTGTTGCTTTTCTTGTCGCTCATGGATCACACATAAATGCCCAGGATGAAAATGGATATTCAGTAAGTGATTTACTTCTGTGTGTTGTAATTAATGATAAAAATTTTAAAAAGCAAGAACCCACAAACTTGTTTCTAAGTACAACTTTCTCAGAAATACTTATTGGTATATTCTTCGGCTTTAACACCACTTGGAGATTGATTTGCATTACTTGTCTTTGACTACAGATTCTGCTGTGTAAGAACTTTGTGAAGGTTGCATTATTGATTGAACCTCTGTTCTTTTTTGTTCCATGAGTAAAACAAAGTTGTTCTTTGCAGGCATTAATATGGGCAGCACAGCATGGACATAAAAGTGTAATTTTTAAGTTGCTTGAGCTGGGAGCTGACAAAAATCTACAGACTAAGGATGAGAAAACAGCAGCAGAGCTAGCAAAAATCAATAAACATTCAGAGGTATTTAATTTCTCTTTGAAATGCGAATTACATGTTTTGCCTCAAAAATCTGTTCATTAATTGTATAATTTTCTGTAGAAGTGTTACTTTAAATAGAGCAGCTAGTTGAATACTTGTGCTATTAACTATATAGACTATTTTCTGTTATATCCCAACTTTTCACAGGGCTTTAAGTGCTATAATGTTTTTGGAACTTTTTTCAGAGTCCTTGATTTCCGATTTAGAACACAGATCAAGGGATCATTCATGTTAGTACCATTGATATGAGATACAGAAAAATAACTTCTTGTTTTTTTCATATCTGCCAAAGTGTGTGAGAGAATGTGGATATCAAACTAATTTGCAGTGTATAGTTTCTGATTGAATTCGGAAGTGAAAAGGTTAAAGATAAAAAAGGGGGGAGTTGGTACGGGCCATCTTCAAAATCCATTGTTGGGAGGGAAGAAGGTATAAGATAATGTAAATTGGTCATCAGATCATTGTAAGAGCAGCCACTAATTATCAATGTAAAGAGAGAACTGCTGAAGACAACATGTATTCTCATAAAATAAATCTGTTTACTTCTGTTATCAAATGATGTATCATGGATCAATCAGACCAGATTCCTGTGTATTTTGCTTTGGGTTGCTCTTACCAATGATGTGGCTTTTTGCAGTGGTTCTTCAAAAACGTATGTGAATTGTAATTCACTTTACAGCCTCTCTCCCTCTCTCCCTCTCCTTTCCTTCTCTCCCTCCCCCAAATTTCTTTAGGTTTATTGATTTTTCTAGTAACTATCTCAAAACTCATACAGGGGCAATTCAGTTTCTGGAATCCATCACTGATGCATAGTGATGTCTGGCAGAAGGCTTGCTTCTTTAATCAGTTGAAAGAATCCCTGTCTGTCAGAAGTAGTTAACTTAGATTGTCAGTTGTAAATTGCTAAATGTTGGGTCCGTATATGCCCTGGAAATGGAGACATTAAAATAGTCGTATGCCTTGTGCTCTTTAGATAACTTACTCCCTTGAGTATTTAGAACTCTTGTCTACAAACCACAAAAATTAGTATGTCGGTGTATTGCTGCTTCTGTAGAGACAGTTGCTAATGTTTTTAGACTACGTTACATATACCGTTTTGCTCTGCGTTAGTTTATCGTTGTGCTGGAATTTGGTTAACTCAAAAACGCTCTTGATAAACTTTGTGGTCTTAGTCTTAACTCCTCACTGTAGTTGTATGCTTTAGAGAAGAAGTGGCAGATGTTTCATGTTCCCTCTAAGTAGTAATTTATGATAGAACTCTTTGTAGTCTTATCCTGTGTATTTCTTTGTGCATTTTGAGTTTGAATAATAATTAATACATTTTGGCTCTTTCAGATTTATAGTTTGCTCTCTTTGGCTGCAAATCACTTGCAAGGGGGATGCCATGAAACAATTAAGCAAGAGGCTATCTACAAATTTCTGACAGCTGCTTCTGACCATAGAGTTGGGTAAATACAGTCGTACTGTAATTTTACCTTATAAACATTCCTAAGAGATTGTATTTGTTCATATCAATGATTAAGTTGTACTGATATATATTGTGTATGGTTGGAGTGCTACCAAGAGTCCACAGTAAGTGTATCAATGTACTGTTAATTTTTCAAGATTGCAAAGTTCCTTTGCGTTATAGACAAAGAGCGTGCTCTAGATCTTTTCTTCCTCTCACTTGGTGTAAAATATAGTAGAGCCAGGGTCCAATGTCACTTCAGTTCATTACAGCTCTGTTAAATTTGTGTGCTCCCATGTTTCATACTCTGTGTTGTGTGGTTACCTTCATTTGATGTTAAATTTTTGATGCTTTCACTGAATGCCTGTTTTCAGCTTCATGCCACCAGGAAGAGCTATGCCCTTTTCTTTTTTTCTGTATATATGGGAGCCAAAATTAAGTATGAACACAAGTTAAGCTCTAGAACTTTTTGCATAGCATGCCCCTGACCCTGAAGCTTGCAGGTGTCCTATGACTGAAATAAGCCCCTGCTTCAGCAGATTCAAAGACCTCTGATACGGTTTTGTCCCAGAATGTGTTGGCTAAGAAATCCTCAACAAACCATCCACTTGCCTCCTTGGGCTGCATGGTCTTGAGAAAACAACTTCTAGTGCCTATAGTCTGTTCTGGTTGGTCAGATTGATTCTTTGTGTCCCTGCTCAGCTAGGTCATGCTGAATTTGAAACGCCATAGTTCTGTATCATTAGCCTGATGCCAGTTCACTAGGTAGCAGTTCACACTGAGGTAGTCTCATTCTTAGAGTACCTCAGTTCAGGCAAATCCTCACCAGGTTCCGTTGATAGATGAATGTATATGTCAGTCATATTTTTCTTCTCTGGCGCTTCAACCACAGTGATCTTAGAGTTACTTCTTGGAGCAGAGGGGTAAAGACTTTGCATGGTAAAATCAACTAGTTATCTATGCTATCCTATTTGCTCTTCCATCTTACTAGTCACAGATTCCTGAAGGCGTTTTTCTGGGCATATGTCCCCATCTATGAACCAGGTCTCCCATGGGATCTGTCTGCTCCTTGGGGATCATCTTTTGAGTCCCTATATACTTGCTGTGAAGGTGACAATCTTTTGAATAGCTTGGTCTTCTAGTACTCTTCACAAAGATTCATAATTCTAGATAGTCTCTACTTAGTGACCTCAGTGTTAGAACAGATCTCTCTTCTCTAGGTTTAGGTTATTTAAGAAGTTTCCCAGGCTTTTTCTCATGTAAGGAAATAAACTAACACTACGCAGCCGTTATCCAAATGGATTTAGTGCTGTTCAAACCTGACAGTGGCTAGAAGACATTCTACCAGTGTCTTAAAAGCTTATCAAGATTACCCAAATAAGGCACTGAAATCCTGAAGCCAACTTACAATACTTTGTGGCAGCCAGATGTCTAGCTATGCAAATGTAATTCTGCATTACACAATTCTTGTGCTTACAGGGTTTCACAAGGTTTCAGTAGTCTTTTTCTAAATTCTACTAGTTTTCCCTGCATTAGATGAGCAACTGATTTGTTTGTATGAACAGGCATTTCTGTCAAGCTCAAGGATTTTTATATTAATAATGGCTAATTCTGATGTTTCATAACTTTGAGCATTTCTGTTAATTAGTAGAACTCTTGGTTTCAGGAAGCAGTCCTCTGGAGTGTACCAGATGTCTGACCTGTTCTTACAAATACAGCTTACCCATTTCCACATACATACATACCAACCACCTAGTGAGTTGTTTTTTTTCATATGCTGATAGCCAAGAGGTACACTGATACCTATGTTTACTCCATTATAGTTCCTTGAGCTGGATGTCTCCTTCCTGCCATTTGCCTGCATAATTTTCATCACAGGCATTGCCAGTTGTCTTCTCCAGTCCCTGTTCTCTCAGTTGCTCCTAACGCATCATCTCGTACCTGGGTATTAGTTGTGCCCCACCATGCAGGATCAGTGAGTATAACTTGTCGTCCTTGCTGCTGCATCATTTTGTCATTCTTAGGTAGTGAGTGTAGCTTCAGTCGTTGCTGTCTGCTGTCCTAATCAGACAATTTTCCTGGCTCCAGAGCCCTGGACTACACAAGGAAATGCACATATCTGTCAGGAATTTGCTTTGTTCAGCTCCTGGATTAGGTCTTTTTTTGGTTCAGGGGCTTTCAAGTTATTGTTTGTGTGCTGAATAGCCCTTTCTTTGATCCTGGGAAAAAAACGTCCTTTCCTTGCATCTTTAGCAGAACCAAAAGTCTTGAGTTACCCAAGGACTCCCGAAACTTTTGCAAACCAGGCACTTTGAATGCCTACATGAAGACATTTCGTCAGTGCAAATCATTCACGCACTGTCACCTTTTGCCAGTTGAGGGGCATTGGCTGTACATACAATGTTTGGATGCATAGGTGAATTGCATACTTCGAAGACTGGTTGTTGCTGTGTGTATGTTGAGGCGGGGGGAATCAGGCAGTTCTACACAACTTCATGGCAGGGACGATGGCTTTAAAGTCTCTTAAAATTATTTTAGACTCTTTATATTTTGCCTGCTGACAGAAGGCATGCTCACAGAATTATTGACTTGTTACAGTGTGGAGGCAGCATTAACTCCTTCATCTGTGATTTAAGGTGTCCATCCTCATAAAGGGATTAGTACACTTAAATACCAGAAATCCTGGAATGCAAGATTCTCAATGTACAAACCTGATATATTTTCTCACGTATTCAGAACAATTTGCAGAGAGATTTGTTTGGGTTGATGGTTGTTTGCAGGGTGAGGGGGGAGTGCTTGCCTCTTCTTTTTTTTTTTTTTTTTTTTAACCAGATTTTGATAGGCGCTCTTAAAGTCTTTGATGTGAAAAGGGGACAAACCTTCATTTTAGGGCCTACAATAAGATAGAGCAAATTATCTCTTAATTCAAGGTTTTGGCAAAGGATTTGCTGTAGCAACTGCAGTAGTCCTTTCTGCATTTTGTATGACTTGCTTTTTCGTTTTATTCTGTCCATTACAGTTGTTCATCTGATTGTTGAAAGCCATTTAGGTTTTTTTTTTTCCCCTTATATTTTTATATCTTTTTGTAGGGCAGGGAATCAAATTTGATATTTTACCTTTGTTTATAAATGTTAAACTGTGAACCTACAGTGGGTTATACTACTTCCTCAGTCTACCTTCTGAACATCAGAAGACTACTGTCTTCTGATAACAAATTTTTGACTGGACTAATTTCTGATATCTTTAATTATAGACATTCCTGTTTTCTTCATAACCTTTTTTGGTTTAAAAGGAACCAGAAGGGTAACAGCTGTGGGCTGAATCCAATTTATATGAATGTTATCTGATAAGATTACATAGTTATCTTCCTGAACCCCACTTCCAAATTTTTCAGGCTTTTGTGACCCATCTTTAAGGTTGAGTTAGAACATTTTGTTACTTAAAATGACATTTATTTCTGAAATCATTCCCTTTTTAGGCTCAATTCAACTCATTAGATTGAAAAGCCATTTATAAAATTTTGATAGGTTAAATTGTACCCTAGGATGCTTATGAGATACTGTCATACCTACTGTCATCAGTAGGCATGTACAACTTTAGGTTGCTCCTCCGTGGTTTGTCTGGTGAGCTTTTCTATAGTATTTTGTTCTGGATGTCTCCCCCC